AAGATAATATACAACCAATAAGCTGGTTGTGTACGCAACTGGAAAGTACCCACTGTCAGTACTGTTAGCGCTATTTCGGAACGCAGCCTCTATAGTATACGTGACATAGGGTGTTTACGACAACGAGTTCGGAACTAGTGAGAACTGAATCCAAGAGAACAGTGTACATTCCCATCTATAAATGTTATATTCTATGGTCTACTTTTGCTTTGCTCTGTAGACCTTTGCGCCGTTATATTAAATATTGGCGGCGGCGTCGGAACTAAAATTGGTCGGCGGCGGCGGCGTCGTCGAAAATTGTCATTATCGATGGCGGCGGAATCGGCGTATGCAGATTTGGTGGCGAACGGCGGCGTCACAATATTTTTTTCTATTAATGGCTTTTACATATAGGACAGCAACATTCGCACAAATGGATTAGTCTCGATCTACAATAGATATAGTAACCCAGACAGCACAATGTCCAAAATCGGATCATAAGACGTTATAAGGTATAAAGTATAATGGGCTTTCTACAACACTGAAATATATACTACCTGGGCCCTTATTCTTGAAATGGTTGCGTATACATAAGTTTTATTGCGCAGATTTAATCATGCCGTAAAATAGCTGCGCAGTAAAACTTACGTATACGCAACTATTTCAAGAATAAGGACCCTGGAACGCGCGCTACCTCTTGAGTGTTGCGGGATGAGAGAGAGCATGCTTGTAGGTCTCGAACAGCGCTCTGTCTTTGTAGTACAGTCTGAACCAAAAGCTAAGCCGACTGATTTCTAAACATAAACTGAATCTCCGAATTAGGAACCATTTTTGTTTTGTTTTCTTTTTAAATAATAAATCGATAAGTGAATACTAATAAATAAGAAAAAAAAATTTTTTTTATAACTAAAACTTTCGTTCATAAGCTTAAGACATTGCCATTCAGTGATCACTGCTTTTCATATTAGCCCATATTCTGAATCCGCTTTTATCGATAAAAGTGCCTTAAATGTAGCTTCTCAGCCAATCAGGAGACTCCTAAGCTTCTTTTAGAGGTACTTTTATAAATAAAAGGAGATTCAGATGGGCCATTATCTCTAATTTTTAACTTGGATTGTATCACATTCTTCTCACTCTCGACTATGCTATGAATCAGACAAGGATAAGAGAGGAAATTACATATATGTAATACTACTATGACTGCGTTCCGAAATGCACTGCCAGTACTGAAAATTTATAGTTCATGTTACATATATTATAGAATTTCAGTACTGACAGTGAATTTCTGAACGCAGCCTATATGGACAGCGGAGAAATGTTCCTATAAGTGAGAGTGAATTAAACATTGAAGAATAAAAGATAGACGGTTATTGGCTCTACTCTTACGAAAAAAAAAAATATGAAAATATGCAACGGCACAGCCTCCAAGGCGTTCTCCGCCGGAGTCGATGTCATGGCTTGAGAGCGGGTTCTCACAGACGAGTGTGCCATTGACATTTTCAGGAAAGCTCTCTGTAGCATTGCACTAAACCACTTACTCGCGTCCCGCCACGTTTGTACCTTAGAATTCGTCCGATCGTCGGCTCGATCGCGTATCCTGAACCGTCGGATCGCGAACAATCGGATCCCGAACGAGCCCCCAAAATGTTACGCACG